CACTTATGGCTCGTTTCCTTTGCACGAATTCGTACGGCGAATCTGTTCGCAAAGTGCGCAAACAAAATTTTTGCAAGCAAAAGCAAACAACGCGCAGTTGAGAACACGATTCGCCGTGCGCGTCAGACGCATGCGCAGACTGTCAAACGCATGTTATATTGTTTGCATCTTATATTAATTTAATTTTTGGCACATCTCAGCTGCTTTTCGGCAATAATAATGTAGACATTACATTTTCCTTATTTATAATCATGAATTTATTATATTTTAATATTGCCTCAGCCTATATTGTCATTTGTTTTTAATGTCAAACCATGCCTTAAATATTTTAAAGGTCAAACAATGATAAGCGGTTTTTTGTATTTTTTCCATTTATTTCTACAATCTAACTATATTTCTGTGAATCAAAACATTCTAGAAAATTTCCCGAACAAACTTCAGGAAGATTCATGAAAATCCGAATTATAGTTTAGGAGTATTAATGAAACTTACATTGTTACAGAAGAATTTTATATATAAGATATATATATGTATATATATTAGATAGAACGGAGCTTAAAGATTCGCGGGTAAAAAGGTCCACCACAGATATCTCAAAAACAAGTAAAGTTAAGGATTTCTTAACAACAATATTTGAAAGTAGAGGGAAAAATGTACAACCAGCCATCACTCTGATTCTTACGACGTTAAAAAAAGCATTTTTACAAGAGAAATATTAAATAAATATTTATGAATATTTTGGACAAAATATCAAATCAAGGTTATTTACAGAGTTATCTCTGTAAAAAATGTATCTATAAAATTCATATTTTTCATTGGTTAAATAATGCAGCTATTTTTTCGTTAAATTCCTTTAAAATTTAAAATAGTAAATTTCATTGTTTGTCCTCTCGCCGATTTTACCCCGCCTATGGGGTAAAAAAAGACCAAGTGACAATTTTTTTAAAAACAGCAAAAAAAACATTTTTACAGTGATGAATTAGCTGGAAGTTGTACTAAAACATAGTCAGATGATTTTTTGTTTGAGGCGTCTTATTGGTTGTTATGTTTTTCGTTTAGTTTTCACAATATAATTGCTCAAAGTTAAATTGGACCCGCCTAACCTTATAAATTAACTAGTTGGTATTGATATTTAGCCTTGATGCAAGTTACATGAACTTCCCGATATGTGTAAATAATCGACTTAATCAATAAAAAATAAATTAATTTATGAATGATTAAAAGTATTCCAAGTGGATTTATAACACATAATTGAAAACGAACGAACACTTTGACTCGGAGTATTTTCTAAAAGCAAAATTTAAAAAATCAACAATTTTTATAATTGAACCTTAATCGAGACTTAGCATATTCATTAAAACCAAGTACTCTATCGTTATACCAAGTAAATCATCTAATTTTAATTTTAACAAACGTCAACAAAACTACTCATCTACTCAAACTTTGATGAATTTTTAAAATTAAACTACTTGTCGTAAGGCCGTAATATTTCAGTAAGTTCTATAAGACCATGATATACATCGCCAAAAAAAGTTTCATGAACACTAATTTTTGCAAACTTTGACGAATTTTTAAAGCTAAACGTTGTCGTAGGGCCGTAATATGTTAGTATGGTCTAGAAGACTATGATTTCTACCGTAAAAAAAATCATAAAAATCGTCGAAATTTTTCTTTAAAAAACTTTATTACAAGAAAACGGCCCGGCCGATCTTTACCAAAAACTAATCAGCACAATTCCCAACCAATATCTTTCGAACGGTTTTTAAATTTTCAGAATTGCGGGCTAAAACGTGGACAAATTTTTTTTCACTTTTCTGCTATTTATAAAGAAACGGCTTGGACGATCGTCGCACAAAACTCAGAAACTCTAGTCCTCATCGAGATACATCGAATGGCTTTTAAATTTTTGAAATCGATCGAACCATTTTTGAAAAAATGCCGATTTACTGCAAAAATTCTGTTCACATACACGCACGCGCACACACACACCCACACACACAAACTTTTTCCAAATTTGAGCTCATTCAATTCAGAATGGCTTGAAACGTCGAGAAAACATAAAACTAGCGAGTTGGATTTTTTGATGAAAATATAAACTTCGATACATAAACTAACATGAAAACATAAACTTTGATGAAAACATAAACTAACTCCTTCGGGAAGTTAAAAATAATCTGCGTCTTTGACGTGAGTCAAAATTTGACCTTTTCTCGACGTTTACTCGTCTGAACCGATGTTAAAATTTTAAAACTATAAAATGAAACTGGATAAGCGCTTGCGTTGATTAGTTTTTTGAGACAATTGGCCCCTTACGGGCGGGGCTAATATTGTTAATTTCAATTTTTAATAATTTTTATTTAGTATAGAACTCATCCCGATTACTTTTATCTTAATTACGCGCTTGCCAATTTTTTAAAATTGAAAGATACGTTATTCAGTAAAAAATTTGAGTTAAAATTTTGTGCTTTTTAAATAAAATTGTTATACCATTTCATTAGTATTTAAAATAGTTTTTTAATAATAATTTATTTTAGATTTTATCAAATATATTTTAATTAGTTTTAAATTTAGTAAATAACGTAGTTTAATAATTTCATATATTTTATATTATCGATTAGTTTTACAATAAGTTTAAATTTTAAGAAATATTGTTTTTTTTTCAAATTCTTTTTTAACTAGTTGGTTTGGTATTTAGCCTTGAGGCAAATTACATGAACTTCCCGATATGTGTAAATAATCGACTTAATCAAAAAAAAGTGTAAATAATATACTTCATCAATCCTACTTTAAAAAAAAACGATAATAATTTTAGCAAAGTTTGACGAATTTTTAAAATTAAACTACTTGTTGTAAGGCCGTAATATTACAGTAAGTTCTATAAGACCATGATGTATATCGCCAAAAAAAGTTCCATGAAAAAAGGCTTAAATTTTTTTTAACAGTTAATTACAAGAAAACGGCTCGGTAGATTTTCACCTAAAATTAATCAGTATCATTCCCAACCAATATCTTTCGAACAGTTTTTGATTTTTTAAAATCGGTTCGGTAGGATGAGCTTAAATGTGGACGAAAATTTAACACTATTTTTCAACAGTTAATTACAAGAAAACCGCTCGGTAGATTTTCATCTAAAATTAATCAGTATCATTCCCAACCAATATCTTTCGAACAGTTTTTGATTTTTTAAAATCGGTTCGGTAGGATGAGCTTAAATGTGGACGAAAAGTTCAACACTTTTTTTCAAATTACAAAGAAACGGCTTGGCAGATCGTTGCACAAAACTGACAAACGATAGTCCTCACCGAAATACATCAAATGGCTTTTAAATTTCTAAAATCGGTTCAGGCGTTTTTGAGAAAACGTCGAACAAAAGTCTAATTTTGACAAATGCCAAAAAGACCATACTGATTTTTGCAAACTTTGACGAATTTTTAAAGCTGGACCAGTTGTCGTAGGGCCGTAATATTTTAGTATGATCTAGAAGACTATGGTATCTATCGTCAAAAAAATAATCATAAAAATCGTCGAAATTTTTTTTTTAAAAACTTTATTACAAGAAAACGGCCCGGCCGATCTCTACCAAAAACTAATCAGCACGATTCCCAACCAATATCTTTCGAACGGTTTTTGAATTTTCAAAATCGATTCATAACTGCGGGCTAAAACGTGGACGAAAGAGTTTTCACTTCTCTGCTATTTACGAAGAAACGGTTTGGCCGATCGTCGCACAAAACTGACAAACAATAGTCCTCATCGAGATACATCGAATGGCTTTTAAATTTTTGAAATCGGTCCAGCCGTTTTTGAGAAAACGGCGATTTACGGCAAAAAATCTGTTGGTGCACACGCACACACACACACACACACACACACACACACACACATACTTTTTCCAAATTTGTTCTCATTCGATTCAGAATGGCTTGAAACGTCGAAAAAACATAAAATTAGCGAATCGGATTTTTTGATGAAAACATAAACTTCTCCTTCGGGAAGTTAAAAAAATGGCATCTCGTAGAAATATTAGTGTATTGTGGTACCATTTTGAAAAAATTGATAGTATGAAAGCAAAGTGTAATGTGTGCAACCAGCAGATAAAGTATAGTTCAACAACCGCCAATTTAAAGAGACATTTAAGAAGAAAGCATATTTCCATATATGCTTCGTTGCAAGAAACTGAGGCAGGAAGTTCACAGCAGACTCGTATTTCACAGTATATGAGTAATTCCGGATAGGCTATACCAAGTTTTAGTAGTGCTCAACAACAACCTACAAGTGTGAGTCAGAGGGTATTGGAGACTTTTATGACTAAAAAAATTAGCAGCGAACAAAAAAAAAAAGATTGACCAAGATTTGATGGGTATGTTCATTGATAGTTTCCATGCATTTTCATTAGTTGAAGAAAGAGCGTTTAAAAAGTTGATGCGGTGGATACCAGGATATGTTCTTCCATCTAGAAAGACTGTTTCAGGATCCATGCTCGAGGAGCAATACAACAAGGCAGTTGAAAATACAAGAGCAGAAGTTTTAGCTGAAGCACAAACTATTTGCATAACATTAGATGTTTGGACTTCTAGGGTTACTGAAGCATATGTGGCAGTTACAGGCCATTATATTACAGACAATTATAACTTAAAAACTGTTTTTCTCGGATGCTGTCAATTTGAAGGAGCGCATACATCAGAAAATCTAGCAATAGAAATTCAAACAATCCTTGACAATTGGTGATAATTAGTGATAATGCCAATAACATGAAAAAAGCCATTAAAGACATTTTAAAAATAAAACATTATGGATGTTTTGCACACACTATTAATTTAATAGTAAATGATGGCCTCAAATTGATTAAGAGTGAGATCGATATAATAAAGAAAATTGTTGGCCACTTCCGGAGGAGTGTCACTGCATGTGAAAAACTGCAGAAATACCAAATGCAGCAATATGGACACACAAAAAAATTGATTCAAGATGTCGAAACAAGGTGGAACTCCACCTTTTACATGGCGAAACGATTTGTCGAGGTTGAAGAGTCAATAAGGATGACAATGAGTGTTTTAAATGCAAATCTACCATCATTGACTTCTGAAATGTGGGAAATGTTGCCACAACTATGCTTAATTTTAAAACCATTCGAAGATATTACCACCACTGTAAGTGGTGAAAATTACCTGACAGGAAGCCTGGTAATAGTGTTAGTAAGATGTTTGAATGAGTCATGCAACAAATTATTGGCACGAAATGACCTGTTGCCAGTAATTAGAAGAATCACTGAAATTTTTAAATCAGGAATTAATGACAGATTTCCAAATGTCGAGAGGAGCAAGACATTTGGAATCTGTACATTATTAGATCCTAGGTTCAAAATGAAGGGTTGCTCAAACATAGAAGATGCAAAAATTATTAAAGAAGATCTTAAGCAAAAAGTAGCAAAAATCATTGAAGAACGAAGACTTTTAGAGAATGTTGTTCCCATGCCATCAACGTCCATGGAAAATATTGATGAGTATAACCCATGGACTATTTTAAATAACCTAGTAGGAGCATCACTGCATCAATCGACTCCACTATGTGCTGCTATAAAGGAAATTGATATATATCTCGCTGATGATAGCTTGCCTATGAAATCTGCAGAAGGTATATTAAATTGCCCAATGCAATGGTGGAGAAATCACCAGCATGTTTATCCAAATTCGGCGAGATTGTTTAAAAATCAGTGCAATGTTGTAGCTACCTCCGTTCCTTGTGAAAGGATCTTTTCAAAAGCAGGCATGGTTATTACGGATAGAAGATCGAGACTACAAAATACAAAAGTCGAAAAATTAATGTATTTAAATGTAAATTTAGATCAAAATCGATTTGATAAAATTTAAAATTGTTAAAATTTTAGTTTTGTTATGTAACAAATTATATAATCTATTTGAAATTTATAATTATAGTTAAAATGTATAATATATGTAAATATTTGAATAAAATGTACTTATAAAAATGATTTGTTTAATTTATAAGATTTCATAAAAACTTCTATTTAAGTTAATCTTTATTTCATTCATTTTCATTTGATTTTTCAGGCTATATAGAATATCATGTCATATAAAAATCTTCTTAGTTAACAAGGTCATAAATAGATAGATGAATACTAACTTTCAAATGTTTTGTTACTAATATTTTTCGTTATATCCATAACATTTTTAATTTGAAATTACTTGAAGTCATTTTTTAAACCTAACCTGAAAATATAAATTATTGAGTTATATAAATTATTTGTTTATTATGTGAAACATTGCTATTTTAATTATAAATTCGTTGTTTCAGTATACTATATCCTTTTGCTTTAAAATTAAAAATAAACAATATGATGGGATACACAGTTCAACTTTTAAACCTTGTTATTGATCAAATGATTTGACATTTAACTGGGACGAACATAGATAAGGAACAAACTTCATTAACTTTCAACGAAACAGTATTTTCAACTCATAGTTATTAACGTTGCCAGCGTTGAATCGTTAAAATCAACTATAGTTGAAAATTAACTAGTTTTTCAACTGGTTGACGAGAACCCGTTAACCGTTTCGTTTCGTTGACGGAAAAAACGTCAACGACCCATCACTACTTCCTGAAGAAAATTGACAGTAGTGGGATGGATGGATGGATGGATGGATGGATGGATAGTTGAAGTAGTTGATTAGCGAAATTCGAAGACCATATTTTAATATATTTGTCCAAAACATAATGTTATTTGCCACTGTAAATTGGTAATCAATTCAATAGTCCAGTTTATTATAGTAAGATTACCTCGGAATTTGAGATACACAGCTGTAAGTCTGTAAATACTTGTATATTGACACCCTAAAGTTGTCTCAAAATTTATATATGGGAGGGTGTCAATACCATATGTAGGTTTTGAGACAACTTTAGGGTGTCAATATTTCAGTATTTACATACATACAGCCGAGTATCCCGAATTCCGGAATTCTTACTTAATTTAACCTTAAATGACTGGAATACAAATAGGAAACAAAGGTCCAATTTGACTTCGAGAAATTATATTGTGAAAACTAAACCAATTATATAACAACAAATAACACATCAAACAGTCAACTGTCTGATTATGTTCAGTAAAACTCCCAGCTAATATATCATTGTAGACATGTGCTTTTTGCTGTTTTTCAAAAATTTGTCACCTGGTACTTTTTACCCTATAGGTGTGGTAAAATAGGACAGCCAGGGGGCAAACAGATTCAATGTCTTATTTTTAACTTCCCGTAGGGTAAGTTATTGTAATGGGCCGAAAATCGGAATTGAAAATTTTTACATTTCTCGACGTTTTGAAGGTTTCTGAACGTTTTGGCATACCTCAGAAAAAATGGATGTGTGTGTGTGTGTGTGTGTGTGTGTGTGTGTGTGTGTGTGTATGTATGTGTGGATACAAATTTCCAGTCACGTTTTAGGGCGCACGGATCAACCGATTTGAATGGTTCAAAAAACATTCGATTCCTATTGATTGGGAAAAGAGCTGATTAGTTTTTGGCAAAGGCAGGTCCAGCCGTTTCGGAGATACGGAGCAAAGAGTGCAGAAAATAGAAATCGAATTTTTGAGCGAACGGAGTATCCGATTTGAATGTTTTAAAAAACATTCAATTAGTAATGATTGGGAGAAGTGTTTATTAGTTTTTGGCAAAGGCAGGCCCAGCCATTTCGAAGATACGGAGCTAAATATGTAAAAAATGGCAGTTTTTGAGAGAACTAAGCGTCCGATTTAAATGATTCAAAGAACTTTCTGCTTGCTTAACAAAATAATTGATTTTGAAAAAAAAAATTTTGTTCAATTTTTTTTTTTTTTTTTTTTTTTTTTTTTTTTTTTTTTTTTTTTTTTTTTTTAGTATTTTGTATATCGAAAATATTTTAGATTTTATTTTTAATTCTGACTATAGTTCTAATATACTTTAGAAATAATTTCAACTCTGCAATTCGGTTTATATAATTCTTATAAATATTACACAATGTTACAATATTTATAATAATCTATTTGAAAACATTCAGTATTCCTCGAACATTTCGTTACGGTGCGGGAAGTTCCAGCAATTTGCCTTAAGGCACGATGCCATAATTGCCTCAAGACAGAATTCCACTTACAGCTAGTTATTTTAAAGGGATTCTATGAAATGATAGCTACATTATTCGACCAATGCAAAATATATAATTCATGGATATATTTTCTACATAGATAACACTGACTAACACTAACATTTCGTATAAATTTTCATTACCAGAGTTGAAATAACTATTTATTTAATTTATCTCTTGTAAAATTGCTTTTTTTAACTAAATTTACTATTTAACTTCCCGTAGGGTAAGTTATTGTAATGGGCCGAAAATCGAAATTAAAAATTTTTACATTTCTCGACGTTTTGAAGGTTTCTGAACATTTTGGCATACCTCAGAAAAAATGGATGTGTGCGTGTGTGTGTATGTATGTATGGATACAAATTTCCAGTCACGTTTTCGGGCGCACGGATCAACCGATTTAAATGGTTTAAAAAACATTCGATTCCTATTGATAGGGAGATGAGCTGATTAGATTTTGTCAAAGGCGGGTCCAGCAGTTACAGAGATAAAAAGCAAAGAGTGCAAAAAATTTAAATCTAGGTTTTGAGAGAACGGAGCATCCGGTTTGAATGATCTAAAAAACATTCAATTAGTAATGATTGGGAGAAGTGTTTATCAGTTTTTGGCAAAAGCAGGCCCAGCCATTTCGAAAATAAGGAGCTGAATATGTAAAAAATGGCAGTTTTTGAGAGAACTAAGCGTCCGATTTAAATGATTTAAAGAATTTTCTGCTTGGCCTAACAAAATAATTAATTTTGGAAAAAAAAACTTCTGTTTCAACTTTTTTTTTCAAAAAAAAAAAATTGTATATCGAAAATACTTTAGATTTTATTTTTAATTCTGACTATAGTTATAATATACTTTAAACAAATAATTTCAGCTTTGCAATTCAGTTTATATAATTCTTATAAATATTAGACAATGCTACAATATTAATAATAATCTATTCTAATCTATTCGAAAACATTCAGTATTCCTCTAACAATTTGTTACGGTACGGAAAGTTCCAGCAATTTGCCCTAAGACACGATGACATACACCCCACTATATAGTTTATTTGCTATTTTATATTTTTTACACCTTCAAGGCAAATGTTAGCCTGTTTTTTTTTACCCCACTCAAGTGTGAGTGAGTGTGTTGAATCTAACGTAAAATCAACAACACATCTTAAAATACAATTAACATACAAAAATACATTGAGGTCTTGTAAACTAAACAACAGTGCTCACAACCAAAACGAATAACAACGAAAGAAAATTCTTTTGTTATGGATTCTCAAACATTGCCGTTTTTTTCCCGGTGGCAACGTCGTAAGAATCATGGCGATTGCTAGTTATACATCTTTTTCTATCTATTTTTTAAATATTGTTTTTATTAGATGCTCCACCCCTTATCTACTCATTTTTGTATTTACGAAACATCTACAGCAGTTAATTACAAGAAGTTATTAGAAGATATTAGATGGCATTTCTCATACATTTTCAATCTTTGAGGTAAATTAACTTTTATGGTAGTAGATTCAAACTATTGTAGTAGATTTACAATTATTCGAGCAGATTTACACACTTTGTTGTAGATGCTCACTTTCTTTAGTAAAACACCAGTAAACAACCAGATTTAATATCATTGTAGTAGGTTTAAAATCATCGCAGTAGATTTACTTGGAACCGATTTACACTTATTGTAGTAGATTTGTGCTCATACTTGTAGATTTATGTTGGACTTACTATGTAGATTCATATTGGATGCATACTTATTGTTTTATTTTCACTCATTCATGTAGATTGATCCTCATTGGAGTAGATTAACACTTATTACAGTATATTTGTGCTCATACATGTATACTTACTCTTATTATACAGAATTGCATTTATTGTAGTAGTTTTAATATATTTACACCTAATGTAACAGACTTGTTCTCATACTTGTAAATTTACACTCATTCACATAGACTTACACTGATCGGAGTAGATTTATACTCATCCAAGTATATTTATACTCATCCCCATATTTTTTCTCATTCATGTAGAAATAGATTCACACTCATTGGGAAAGATTAATATTCATTCAAAAAGATTTATACTCATTCCCATATCTTTACTCATTCAAGTTGATTCACACTGATTCCCGTGGATTTACACTTATTGGAGTAGATTAATACTCCTCCAAGTAAATTTGTACTCATTCTTCGCATGCTTTTACTCATTTGCGTAGATTCACACTCGAGTATTAACATTCTCCAAAGATCTTTATATAATAAATTAATCTTTAACTACTATTGAGATTAGAAATAAACATGTAGAAAACGACTTTCTGAGTATCCATCAAGAGACATGTTATTGTTATATGTTTGTATTATTTTTAATAGAAATCAATCACTGGATTACATTGTTTTATCTATAATTATCCAAGAATCCATCTATTTTGTTTTTAACTTTCATAGTTTTTACACGTACATTTGCTCTAATTTTATATTTTTGAATTTGGTTTTCCAGATTTCCCAGAAATTGCTAAGTAAGTAAGGATCTCATTTATTTTCATTACACATATATTTTTGTAGTTGATGTGCTACTATATAAATGCTTTATTATGAAGATCGCAATTTTGAGAAGATGAATTTATATAGTTCAGGAAGGATTTCTACATAATCGATTATTAATTT